TGGCCTGACCCGGGGTGAGGGGCGCTGTGCGGGGCTGCGCGGGGCAGACGCCCCTTCGGGTGCAGGTGCCCAGGGCCGCTTTGGCCGCGGGGCTCCTGCGAAAAGCGTCTTCAGCCCAGGCCATCATGAAGAGGGTATGTCGCTGCAAAACAGGTGTTTGGAAGCGGTGCCACTTCCTCCGCTCCCTCGGGTGCGAGTCTGGGGGCGGGATGTCGCCTTTCACGTAAGGAGAAGGGCCGCGCAGCGTCCCTGACCGATAGATTGGTGTTTGGCTTGGGCGCTGCTTTATGAGACAGACTGAGTGTCAGTTCTTCTCTAGACAGTCCGTCGGGTCAGCCAGGTTGATGTGTAAGTGGCTCTTAGTTCCGCCAATGCCTTCATGAAGCCGTGCTTCATTGGGTTATTGCAAGCGTGGCTTAGGTATGGTTCATTCAGCTCCATCATGAAGGGTTAATTGTACAGCAGATGTTGAGAAAGTTTATCAGAAAGGCAACATAGTTCATTTTGGTGTGCACATTCCCTCTGTTCGCAAGAAAAAAATGAAGTAAAATGTATATTGTGCTTTTTTGCAAGAGAATTAGGGCATTCAGAACTTTTACACTTAATTATCCATGTTCAAGAGATTTATCATGAAGGAATTCTTGTTCACAGTGTTTTGGATTAAACCCTTGAAAAAATCCTTGACTCTTCATAATTTTTCCTAGCTTCTCTCCCCCACCCCCTCACACTAGTCGAGCAATGAAGAAAATCGTTTCCCTCTCCCTAGTTCACAGTGCTAAATGTTAACAATAGAAATACAGTAATTTGAATTTCCCCTCCTTATTGGGCTGAGGATGAATTTATGACCAGGATTGATACTGTTCTTTAAACCTTGCCCTGGCATGAGACAAGCATGGATTCATTAGTTTTAACTTTATTTTTCTGTAGTAAACATGTAATTGATTGTCTTAAACTGACCAGCACCAATACACACATGATTTTGCTATGTATTTAGTGTTTAGCACGCAGGGTCACTTATCCTATCTGTATGTAATTTTTCACTTGAGATGTTGAGTGCGTCACTATGTCCATTGAAGGGATCTTTATTAAAGCAGAAATAAGTCCTCTGACTTATCAGTTGCCACAACTTAAACTATAAATGTTAGTTACTTAAAGCACATTTATTTCAAAGATCCCCGAAGACTCATTTTATTCTACTCTTTAAATTCTACTTGCTCCAGTTTGAGTACCTATTTTGATAGAGTAAAATGTCAGGATTTTCTTTCCAGGGGGGGGGGGGGAGGGTGGGGGAGGAAGTAAATATTATGCCTGGGCTGGTTGGTTTTAATGAGTCTTGACCATCTCGAAAGACTGCTTCACTAATTTCATATGAGGAATCAATTCACACTGAGATTGTAGCAGTCTGGTTCCAGGATGAAAAGGGTCATTTTTAAAACAAAGATCATAATTCTTACTAAAAAATTATATCTAGTCAATTCATTTGAATGAGGAAACATTAAATAGAATATCTTACTCTCTCTATATATAAAAAAGTTTTTCCTACCAGGCGACCAAATGACATCATCACACTCTCATGCTCTCTGACCGCAAAAGCTACAGAGAGAGAAGTTGGCAAGTATAGTAAGCACTAGACATAGCCCACTAGTAATTATTTAATAGAAGAATTCTGTCAAAATTTTCAAAAAGTAAACCAAGAATTTTGATAACTTTAGCTTTGCAGTTTAGATGTAGTATTTGAAGTTTCACTGTAAAGAAATGGAGGCATTGGTTTTTATCTTGCCCGTGCCTAAATACTGTGCTGCTCAGTACTCTGTAAACACCTCAAATGAAAATCAACTTGCAGTTGCCTCAAATGAAAATCAACTTGCTGATAGCACATCAGCGTCTCGGTATCCAGATGTTATTAGCTCATTGTACTATGTACTCCCTCTGTTACAGACACCACTAAAGAAAACCAGTGCCCTCATTGCAGAGATGGGGATAAGCTTCTCAAATGCAGTAAGTGTTGACATTGACTTCTGTAACTTTCAGAGGCATGTATTTATTGAAGCTATTGTAATTTAAATACCTGAGGTTATAATGATATTTAAAAAAAAAAAACTCTAACTTGGCTCTGAAGTAGGTTTAGCTTCAACTTCTTAAAAATATGGTGAATACAAGGGACCAGTTTCATTCCTGTTGTAAGGGATGAATAGAACCCAACATCAATTAACCCATTTCAGATTTTGAGCCTGAGATGGAACGTTTTGCTTCCTAAAAATATTCATTGCAAGTTACCAGTGCAACAAAACAAAATTAAAAATATGTTTGGAAAGGTTTATCAATAAGCTAATAAAGAAATCTGTCAGATTTACCTCTTTACAGGTTTGAAAATTGATTAACAGTTCTCCATTTTTGTTTATTGGAATTGTTACAATAAGTAAAAATTAAACAAATGTTCATTCTCAAATAACTGATGCTGCCTGTTGTATAACATACATTTTCCAAATTGTAAACGCAACAGAAAATATAAACCTAATTCCAGATGCAATCTCTAATATTAAAGAAATATTTGTGTTGTACTTCTGTATGCCTAAATAGATTACTTTCAATGATGTGATGTGAGTGACTTATCTGCATAACTTTTAATGTCTTTTGCTATTGTCTAAAAACTAGATTTTTTTTTTCAAAGATTCGATTTACAACTTACTTTTTTCCATTCTGTGTTCCAGTATGTGCCCAGTGCATTGTGCTGTCCAAGCAGAGCTAGCATCTTAACAGGAAAGTACCCACATAATCATCATGTTGTCAATAACACTCTGGAGGGAAACTGCAGTAGCAAATCATGGCAGAAGATACAGGAACCGTATACCTTCCCAGCTCTCCTCAAGTCCATGTGTGGCTATCAAACATTTTATGCTGGGAAGTATTTGAATGAGGTATACCTTACTTATATTGGATGTGACACTCCTGAATTGCTTATACTGAAGATAACTTTGTGAAATAAAGTCTTAGTCCTTATTTTTGTAGTTTAAAAAAACTTATAATATTTAAAAATCTTATTTTATTTTTTTATGAAAAAAATTCTCAGAATTGTTAAGGGAATGGAAGAAATAAGACATGCAACCTAACTTTTCTCAGCCTAATTTGGCCAAAATATCAGAAGTCATTTAACAGGTAGTCTTGAGAAAACCAATAGTTTTAAGAGTTTAGTACTCTACTTCAGGGGTACTAGGATTTAAGGATTATATTCGGGATGTAGGAGAGCTGGGCTTCTGTAATTAGAGTTTTCCCCTATCATAGCAGTACATGGACATGAGTTCCTTCTTCTGGCAAGGATGAGAAGAAAAGGAGAGCCATGCAGAATTCCCTACCATTTAGATTCCACTACATGCATATTGTGGTTGAAGGGAGCTGTTAAATTGCATACAACTAACTTTTCCCTTTTAATTAAAACTTAGAAACTACTTAATTAAAAGAACATTTTGCAAAGTCGAGCATTCAAAAGTTAGGCAATAACAGAGTTAAGGTTTATACTATATGTGCATTTGATTATGCATAGTCTTTAACATGACAACATAATGCTGGTATATTTTCTGCAGGACCTTTGTATAGTTCATTGCACAGTTTGGATTTAGAAGGGGATAAAATTAATACATCTGATATTGCTTGACTTTGCAACCTTTTAATGTAGGAGGATTTGTGTGTCGAGCAAGTCAGTGTGTGTTTGTGATTAGAACTGGGTCTTTGTTTTCTTCCACAGCAGCCAGAAATGCACTTAAACCTCCACTAAAGATAGCTTCTATTCCAGTCACATCTGACACTCTAATGGGTCACTTTCTTTTTCTTTTCAGTATGGCGCCGAAGATGCAGGGGGAATAGGCCACGTTCCTCCTGGATGGAGTTTTTGGTATGCTTTGGTATGTGGTAGCTCCTATTAAATAGTTAGTTGTAGATACTTTACAAAAATAAATCTAGCTTAATTGTGCTGAATAGAAGAACTGGTCTGTTTTTTGCATGTTCCTGTTTTAAAAAAAGAGGAAATTCTTTCCTTCTTAATGTTTCATTTTCTCAGCTTTGTATGGAAGCTTCTAATGTTAATGATGAGTTCTTTTAAGTGAAGAGAAGTATCTGAAAACCAAACTTCAATAAAGAAAAGCTTGTATTATTATAGTGTAAAAGCATTTTGGTTTTATGAAAGACAAAACCTGTAAGCTTTTTGCAGCGCACATACTGCAGATACTTAAATAGGACACATTGCTTGATAAAAGCATGTTTGACAAATATTTGCAGACAACTTGGTTTATGTAAAGTGATCAGTGAAACAGATTTTTATCTTTCGATATAAGTGATACCTTTTTCCCCTCTTTCATAGGAAAAAAATTCAAAGTACTATAATTACACTTTTTCAGTAAATGGAAAAGCACGAAGGCATGGTGAGAACTACAGTGTAGATTACCTCACAGATGTACTGGTAAGAAATATCAGAACAGCTGCACTAACTGTTCCATTTGTGACCAAACACTACCTTATGCCTGGTTGTATTTCTGAATGGATATTGCCTAATGTTGGTGTTTTATTACTTTGTGCATAACCAGTGAAACAAGATTCCAGCTTTTGTTTAAAAAAAGGCAAGCTTGTATATGCAAATATAGGAAGATGAAATTAGGTTAAATACCTGCTAGCCAATGGCCAGATCTGCTGGTGAACGCTGACTTCAGTGGTAGTTCAGAGTTCTTGGCCAAAATACTGGTGATTGGTAGGTCACTGACTTCCATTTAGAACAAGTACTTCAGGCTACCAACCTGTGAAATGGCAATTTGGCTTAAGATCTATGAGAATATGCGGCATTTGAGCAAACAGTTGTAATGAAGGGTACATCTAGACTACATGCCTCTGTCGCCAGAGGCATGTAGATTAGGCTACCAGACATAGTAAAATGAAGCGGCGATTTAAATAATCGCCGCTTCATTTAAATTTACATGGCTGCCGTGCTGAGCCGACAAACAGCTGATCAGCTGTTTGTCGGCTCAGCACGGCAGCCATGTAAATTTAAATGAAGCGGCGATTATTTAAATCGCCGCTTCATTTTACTATGTCTGATAGCCTAATCTACATGCCTCTGGCGACAGAGGCATGTAGTCTAGACGTAGCCTGAGTTTTTACTTAACTCTCATTTGTTTTTGTATGTTACAGTATACCTAGATATGTGGTTTCGACAAACAGCTGTTTAGCATAATAACTTAAGAATGGTCATCCTGGTGAAACCAATGGTCCAATTAGCCCATTATCCTGTCTTCAGACAGAGGCCAATTCCAGATGTTTCAAAGGGAATGAACAGAGCAGGGAAACTATCAAGTGATCCATTTCCTGTCATGCCAGTCCTAGATTCTGGCAGTCAAAGGCTTTGATATACCTTAGTGATAGAAATGTAGCCGTGTTAGTCTGGGGTAGTTGAAGCAAAATGCAGGACAATGTAGCACTTTAAAGACTAACAAGATGGTTTATTAGATGATGAGCTTTCGTGGGCCAGACCCACTTCCTCAGATCAAATAGTGGAAGAAAGTAGTCACAACCATATATACCAAAGGATACAATTAAAAAAAAGAACAAATATGAAAAGGACAAATCACATTGCAGAACAGAAGGAGGAGGCGGGGGGGTGGGAAGGGGGAGGAAGGAAGGTAAGTGTCTGTGAATTGATGATATTAGAGGTAGGGAGAGTGGGATGTTTGTGAGTTAATGGTATTACAGGTGATAATTGGGGAAACTGTCTTGATAATGGGTGAGAAAGTTCAAAGACTTGTTAAGTCCCTGGTGGTAAGTGTCGAATTTTAACATGAATGACAGTTCAGAGGATTCCCTTTCAAGTGCAGATGTAAAAGGTCTTTGTAGCAGAATGCAGGTGGCTAAGTCATTTAGAGAGTGTCCTTTCTGGTTAAAGTGGCAAGAAACTGTTTTCTCTTTGTGATCTTGTCTGATATCTGTTTTGTGGGCATTAATCCTTTGGCGAAGTGTCTGAGATGTTTGTCCAATGTACATAGCAGACGGACACTTTCGGCACATGATAGCGTAGATTATATTTCTGGATGCGCAGGAATATGTGTTCTTGATCTTATAACTCACTTGGTTAGGTCCAATAATGGTATCAGCAGAATGAATATGTGGACAAAGCTGGCAACGGGGTTTGTTGCAAGGGAAGGTACCAGGGTTGGTATTAGTGTGGTATGTCCTGTGGTGGTTGGTAAGAATCATCTTGAGGTTAGGTGGTTGTCTATAGGAGACTATGGGTCTGTCTCCCAGAGCCTCTTTGAGTATGGTATCCTGTTCCAATATAGGCTGTAGTTTATTGATAATGTGTTGGACAGGTTTAAGTTGGGGGTTGTAGGTGATGACAAGTGGTGTTCTATTGTTGGTTTTCTTGGGTCTGTCTTGAAGTAGATGGTTTCTAGGTATTCGTCTGGCTCTTTCAATTTGCTTTTTTGTTTCTCTGGGTGGGTAGTTGAGATTTATAAATGCTTGGTAGAGATCCTGAAGCTTCTGGTCTCTGTCAGTGGGGTTAGAGCAGATGCGGTTGTATCGTCTGGCCTTCACAACATCTCTTGGGAACAAGTTCCACAGTGGACTGTGCCTTCTGTGAAGAAGTGTTTCCTTTTGTTTGTTTTGTGCCTTTTGCCTATTAATTTCATTGGGTGATTTCTGTTTCTTGTATTATGAGGGAGCAAGCAACATTTCTTTATTCGTTTTCTTTGCACCACTTACAATTTTCTAGACCTCTATCATGTTCTCCCTTTGTCATCTCTTTTCCAAGTTGAACAGTCCCAGTCATTTTAATCTCTTTTCATAGATAAGCTGTCCGTACATACCCTTAATAATTTTTGCTGCACTTCTCTGAAGCTTTTCCATTTTATGTATATGTATGTAATGCTGTATGTGTATTAATTGTTTAGCTGGTTAACTGATTAAACGGGATGGGAGGGGGACAGCTCCAGCCCAGCTGAACTGGAGCAGCGGTATCCCTTGCCCATCGCCCGTGCCTGGCTCCATGGAACTGGAGCAGCCCAGGAGTCACTCCAGCCCCCATCAGTTAACCATTCATATCCCATAAATATAAATATATTTTTATGGGGTGATCAGCACTGCAAAGAATATTCAAAGTGTGGGTGGTAGGGATGTTGGCGTATAGTTGTGTAAATGATTAACCAATAAGCCTGGACTTATCCGTTAATCCTAATGACTACATACGCTTCCCCTTCTCTCTTTTTTCCCCCTTCCTTCCTCCCTCCCTTGCTGCCTCTGATACAGAGGCAGCAGCGTGGGAGGAGGCAGATGGGATGCTGGAGCAGCCCCGTTTCTGAGGAGCTTGGGCCCTCTACAGACAAAAGCTGTTGCCGCTCAGCACTGCTGCCTCTGATACAGAAGGAAGGAGCCCATCTGCGCTGGGAGGGACCCCCAGACCATCGAATAATCATGTAACCGCACAAAATCTTTGAGGTTACACAGTTATTAAATTAAATTATATCTAACATCCTTAGCGGGTGTCCAGAAGATTTATATAGGGGTATTGTGATGTTTACTATCTTATCCCCTTCCTGGTGCATCCTGACATTGTGTTTAGGTTTTTTGACTGCTGCTGCATACTAAGCAGATGCTCTCAGAGAATTAGCCACATTAACTCCAAGATCTTACTTGAGTGATTTGATATGTGTATTTGGGATTGTTTTTCAATATGCAAGTACTTCTCACTTACCAATACTGAATTTTGTCTGCCATTTTCTTGCCCAGACACCCAGTTTTGTGAACTCTCTAACTCTTTGCAATCTTCTTTTGGACTTTACTATCTTAAATAACTTTTGTATCATCTGCAATCTTTGCTACTTTATTGTTTACTCACTCCTTTTTACAGCTCATTTACTAATATGTTGAATAGCATCGGCTCCTGTAAAGATCTCTGGGGGGCACTGTTATTTACTCCTCTCCATTCTCCCTCAAAGAATTTTAAGAGACTGAGGCATGCTTTTCCGTTACACCAACAAGTTTTCAAAGGTTAATCCTGGGTCTGATTTTTCTGTTCTTTTTGGTAGCTTAACTATTTGTCTGGTACTGAAATTAGGCTTTCCAGCCTGAGGTTGCAGGATCTCCTATGGAGTCTTAAAAAAATTTGGTGCCACATTAGCTATCCTCCAGTCATCTGGCACAAAGACTGATTTAAGTGAGAAGTTACATACCACCTGCTGACCTCATGTCAACTAGACTGTCTGTGAAGATTAGAAGTGCTGGTTTATAGAGCTTTCCAGTTGGTTCAGTGCAAGATAATGTAGCCTTTATTGTATTATGGTTGCTATTACTGAGTAGTTCTGTTATATTCACAACAGAATCTGGTCAAAGAGTTAGAACTAAGTAAGATCTGCTTCTCCCTTGTGGATTCCAGGACTAGCTGCTCCAGAAACATTATCTCTGCATTCGGTCTTGGTGACGTACCTAATTAATATGGGGATAGCTGAAATGGTGCATTATTATTTAATTTTATATATTTATAGTCTGTCTAATCTCTCTGAGACTTTCACAATGACCATCACCATCCTGATCAGGTGATCAGTAGTATACTCCTTCTACTAGACTCTTATTAGTCAAGAATGGAACTTCTTCCATGGAGATTCTGAGGGAGAGTGTGATTTTTACTTAAGATTTTAATTATATTTGACTCATAGTGCCACTCCCCCACCAACACAATCTACTCTTCCATTTTTTTTTTTTGCCATGTCCCATTGATTTTTGTCATTCCACTATATTTCTGTGATGCCTTTTATATCAGTATCTTCATTTAATACCAGGTATTCAGGGTCATCCATCTTGGTGTTCAGACTTTTAGCATTTGTATTCAAGAACTTACAAAATGTGTCACTTTTTAGTTGTCTGCCTTCACGTGGTGTAACTGAATGGAAGGTTTTTATTTGACTTGTACTTCAGTTCCTACCTATTAGGGATGTTACAATGTGTTTATTTTTGTTAACATGTAACTGCTGAAACTTTCACGTTTACACACAGAGGGGCAGGAGGAGGGTGATGCTAACAGGGAGATGGCTTTTCTACAGGATCCTACTTCCGCCACTTCCCCTGCGCTGATGTCTCTTGGGGAGGTGGTAGTAGAGGCAGCTCTGTGGGAACTGGTTTACAAGCCAGCTCCCTACCAACCCCTGCCTTGACCCCCTTCCACGTGCTGCTGCCTCTGTGTGAGAGGCAGTAGCAGTGTGTGGGAGGAGGGGAGCAGGCTGCTCTGCGGGAACTGGTACTGTGTGGTTAACCCTCACAGTGACTATGAGCCCAGGCTCATCAGTTAAATGTGTACACGGGTACACGTTCACATCATTTCTATCTATACTTTATTTACCAAAGTGATATGCAGTTTAGAAATACCAAAGATACTCAATATGTATATAGTATTTTACCACAGTATCGATAGAGAACTGTCCTGAGAATGTATAGCAGGGCAGGAAAGCTCTCTTCTCTAGATAGCTAGTGATTTAACATTAAATATTTCAAATTAACCTTGTCTCTGTTAGCGATTCTGAAAAAGGCTTAAATGTTGGTGCTTGCTGTTTTTGGCCATTAAACAATAGGGACTCTGGACTTACAAACGAGCACTTGACTACATAGATATCAGAGGATTTTGAAATGTCCTGACCTGCATAGAAGACAATTTATTAACATGGTCACCTGTAGCACCAAACTGCCAAACACCAGTCTTCTGTCAATAGCTTCAGTATTTGCCTGTTTGACAGAAGCTAATATGGCAGGCAGTATAGAGGCAAAATGAAGCACTTGTTATGTATAAGAACTGTCTCTTTCATTGGTCCTATAGGCTGCTAATTGAACAGCAAGCAGCTTGAGAAAGCTCTGTGTGGGAGGCAGGTGATACAGGTTTATTACCAGTGAGCCACAAAATCTATAATTGATTGTAATTGCTTATTGTCCATTTTAGAAAAGCCATCTATTTATATAGCTTTCTTAAGAGTCCGTTGCTTCAGAGGCAGAATAGAGAGCACTTCAGAGTAGGGATATTAGCAAGTAGTCAACTACCTGATGAATTTAACTACCTGATAAGCTTGACTGGCGTATTAAGAGGCAGCTAGTGGGGGTTAGAGGAGGCTGCTGTAAGAGTCTTGTCATGGGCAGAGGCTGCTCCAGCAGCAGCCCTTGTCCGCAGAGGTCCCAGCAGGGAACTGGGCCCCTCTGCAGACAGGGGCTGCTGCCGCCAAGCAGCTCATGTTCATGGCAGCCTGGGCTGGCCATGCACAAGGACTGTACCAGCAGCAGGCCCTGGCCACGGCCACCCCTGGCCATTGCAAATGGGCTGGTGCTGGAGCAGCTCCCTGAGCCAGCACAAGTTTGAACTACTCTGTCCTGGCTCAAGCTGGCTCCTGGATCTAACCTGGCTTCATCTCTGCAGAGCAGTCCTTAACAAATTTGAATCGACTACAGTCTACTATTAGTCAGATAACTGCAATTTAACATCCCTACTCCAGACCAGGGTGATTAATCAGGCAGAAGGGGAAAACATGAGACTAGAATAGGGAAGAACTGAGATATGTGGTAACTGTGCACGTACAAAGATTAGTTCTAAAAATTGGCAAAGGGAAGGCTACAATAATGGGCTGAAAGGAATAGTGAGAATTGCTGTCCTGTGTAGGCTAAGTGAACAAGCAGTATTCCAATGAGTGGCTAGGTGATGGACATCAAATGGAGCAGCACAAGTGAAAGAAGCTTCAAGCTATACCCTATTGCTTTATGCGATTGGCCATAACAATTAAGTTGGCAGCAGTAGAGCAGGGATTGAAACCTTGACCAGCAGAAAGTTCTCAGAAGACAGTCAAACTGCTAGATTCCTATCTGACATACAAGGTCTGCATCCTACATCCCCTGAAATGTAGAAAGATTTAGGAAGGGTATGAAATGGAATTGTACTTGACAATATGAATAAAAATGTCAGCGAAGGCAGAGTTTGAAAGTGAGCTCTGTCAACAGAACAAGATAATACATCTGAGTTATTCTTTACATCAAGCTCTCCAGGTCTGAATGACATGAAGGTCCGAGGCATACTGGCAATTAGAGGTGTGAGGGACAAAAGACCTCTTATGTTGAAATAGGCTTTATAAATAACTCCGACACTTGGGTTTGATTTACCGTAAGTTGCTACTTCAAATACTTGTAGAAGTACAATTGAGATTGTAAAATAGAGTGCAAGTACTACTTATATTCATACTCTTCTAGTCTTAACTTTTTGGACTGTTTTCTCAGTTTAACATTAGAATTTATTATGACTGGTGTTGGAGAGTTGTTAAACCACTAACTTTGTGTATGCAGGCTAACATGTCCTTGGATTTCTTGGAATATAAATCTAACTTTGAACCTTTCTTCATGATGATCTCCACTCCAGCACCACACTCTCCCTGGATACCTGCTCCTCAATATAAAAAGAGCTTCCAAAATGTCAGTGCACCTAGAAACAGCAATTTTAACATTCACGGAAAGGTAAGATTATTTACAAGAATCCAAATAATAACTACATTAATTGGGGACAATAATTAGATCAGTCTAACTTGCATGTATAACATTGAAGTAGAAGTTGTGAGAAGAATGGGTTAATGTTATGCTGTTGCTCATCTATTTTTGGCATTTTTTTTTAAAGGATTGTGATCTAATCTTTCAATTCTTATGTGGAAAAAATCTGATGGGGGGGGCATCTGAGATTAAGATCACAATCATTTTAAAAACTTGATTTTTTCTAATCTTATTGGTGATAGGAAACTGGTTATGCTAACCTTCAAAATAAACACTCATCTCTACATACTTTTGTATTACAATTTTTGAGTGAATTTATACAGTAGAATAGAAATTATGATTGTTACTAAGTTTACTGAAATTTCACCTTCATCTTCCAAACCATTAAGAAGTTTATTCTGGTAGAATGTCTTGCACTCACTTATAAGCTCTTATGATATGCTTCCAGAGCCTGCCAGCTTGTTCAGTTAGAGTGGCACCTTAAATAGGTTTCACATCGAGGAAATGCCTTAAGTTGCTTTGTCAAGTGCCCACTCGAAGTGGATATTGATGAGCCCTGCTATCTCTAACATAGAAACTCATATTGCTCCCTTTTTAATGCAAAACTGTCCCTAGTCCTCAATTTTTATCAAGCTAGTTAGAAGGCCTCTTGGTTAAGTCATGAATCACAGGTCTCAATGCCACTAAATGCTGTTGACATCAAGTTTTATCATCCCTTCAGCACATAAGCAGACATAGTGGCACCATCCGGGTGTCACAGCACATGAAGTTAATGTAAGTGGGAAGCAATTATTTCAGTAGGAGTCAAACCAGGGGTAAGACGAAAACAGTTGAAGAAAGTGAGCAACGACCTGACCTCCTTGAATATTTGCTTTTCAGTTATTAAGGTAGTTTGCAGTTTTGGTCAGACTCACTGAATTAGTAGTTGTTATAAAATACATGGATAATGAGTGGGACAAATTATTTTCACTTTAGCTAAGAGATTGTAGTATTCTTATCTGAAAAGCTAGCCAAAGTAATTCACGTGGTCAGCTCCATACCAGATGTTCACAGCTTATTCTACCTGTGGCTTGAGGAAGAAGTCACACAAATTGCAGCTAATAAGACATCTTGATGCCTTCTTGAGGCTTTATTTGGCCAAGATACGCTTTCAGTTCTGATTTGGTTTGAGATCTAGACCAAGATCTTGAACCAAATCAGAATATGGTTAGGAGGCTAGATGGAAACTCAGACTGCCTTCCTGTTTGCAACCCAGTGACATCTGTGTGCACTGGAGCTATTGTGACTGATGGAGACCAGGGCAAACGGATAACAGGCTGTAGATCATGGAACTCTTTGCTTGAAGAGATTAGCAAGTTAAGTTTGCAGTCAGTTGAAAGCATGATATACAACTCAGTTTTTTTGCAAGTCCTATGATAGTGGTGGGGGCATGAATAGAAAAGGAAGACAATGACTTATCCTAAATTAAGTATCTAAACCAGGAAGCAGAATCTCCATTTTTTTTCCATAAAAGGATCCTTAGTTGTATCTGAAATTTAGGTACTGCAGTAGTTAGGTGCTTTAAAAATAATAAGATAGAAGTGATTATCTGGACAGCGATCAGCTTAAAAATACAGCCGAAATGATTGGGTAATAGTGTGGGAGTTGACTGCTTATGAAGAGCAAAGGTAAAAGTGTCTGCACTTGACTGCATAGCAGCATAATGCACAAGAAAAAACAGAGATGTTTAATACTTGATGCTTACAGTACTTCCAATTGTAAGTATTGAGGATTACCCATCTGTGGAGGAAGGAAATGTTAGGCCATGGCTATACATGCAGTGCTGTAGTGGTACAGTGGTATCAATGCAGTTTATAAGCTGCTGTATATCTGATGAAGACGCTCTATGCTGATGAGGGAGAGCTCTCCTGTTGCCATAAAAAGCCCACTGCTGCAACCTCATTGACCTAGCATTGTGCCCATCAGTGCTTATGCCAGTGTAATTTACGTCGCTTGGAGGGGTGGAACATTCATGCCCCTGAGTGACAAAAATTTTGCCAGCATAGGCTGTAGTGTAGACATAGCCTAGTCTCAGCTACAGACTGAACTGAGACAGCTACTTGCGGTCCTCAACAGTCATGCTTGTTGGCAGAACCATAATAGTCTATTCCTTTAATTTGCAGTAAGGTGTTATGAGGCCTCACTATTGGCTAATTGAAGCACAGTTAAATTCAGTAATAATCTTGTAAATGTGGCCTGAATTCATAACTAGTTTGGAGAGAGAAGACTAGAAAGAACAGCGTATTGCAGGAAAAAACTACTTCCAGCTCCTTAATAAATTGTTAATTCTCTTGGGTCAACTATAATTGCAGGCTGGGTATTTGGTGTTATCCTAAGTCATCTTTCTTGCTTGAGTAAATCTCAAGCATGTAGGTGCTTAATTTAAATTAATAGTCTGAACAATTGACTAAGGCATATGAGTGCTACACACAATTGAACTTAATGACAAATTGGATTAATTAGTTCTACCCAGCACCAAACCCTCCCCAGTCTGCGTGGAAGAAATGGGGAAGTGAAATAGTCATACTTACATGACTCATGCAAATAATTTAGAATAGTAATATAAATGTAGCCCTGTTAGTCTGGTGTAGCTGAAGCAAAATACAGGACTATGTAGCACTTTAAAGACTAACAAGATGGTTTATTAGATGATGAGCTTTCGTGGGCCAGACCCGTCTTTAAAGTGCTACATAGTCCTGTATTTTGCAAAGAATTTAGGTTGTCTAACAGCCTGTGAAATTAAGGAAGTGAATTGCAAAGGCCAAGTTCTACCACTGAGAAGACCGTGCTCAAGCCAAATTCAGGCTTACATTGGGATAACCAAGATTGGCAGACTTGATTACTTGTTGTTTTACACCTTAAAATTGAAAGTGTAAATATACATGACTTTTATACACTTGATTTTTTGGGGGGGATCCCCTTCACTTAGGAAGTTTTGGGGGTTAATTTTCTTCCTGTGTTTGTATAGCTACTAGCACAGTTCTGATTGGTGTTTCTGACTGCTTGAATGTGTGACTTGCCTGTCCCAGTCAGATGCATGATTACTTCCTCAATTTCTCTCCTCTGAAAAAATGGTCTATCTGGAAAGGTGGTTTGACCTTTTGGTCAGAGCAGGAGGCCTTCCCCTTCTGGGGTGTTAAGTCCAAGTGAAAAGCTATAAAAATCCTTTT